ATCAGCAAGTTGCTTAAGCGTGACGAATGCAATCGTCTAGTTAGATAATTTTCAAAATACTGCGCCTGCATCCTTTAATGCTACACCCTGCAGTTACTTTCGTTTATTTAGTTGAAGTCATTTTGTATGTCAAGTTGAGTACTGCTATCAAGAAAACGAAGCTCTCGTGTTTCCTACACTTGAACGATCACAGATTTTATCGTCCAATCATTGAATTCTTATCTCCGCGATATTTCAGTTATCCAATGCTAGAAGGTTACATTTCCAGCTTGCCATTGCTCACTAATCGAATTAACCATGCGTGTTAAAAGAAGATCTTACAGTATAGATAAGGAAATTTGGGGCATTCGAAGAATCTGGGTTAAGTCGGATCAACAAGTCACCTCGGAGCTTTTTAAGCGTCAAACGTGAATCACGATTCCAGGTTGCGCCTGATGCAGTATATCCAGTCAAATACAGATTCTTTGTTTTCTTACCGTTCGTAACATGTAATTTCTTAGGATTCGTTTATAAGATTCTAAAGAGGATTGGAAATTGTGATTTCCAGTTAACTTTCACTGAACAGCAATTATCCACACGATTTCTATTCACTGGCTTATGATTAAAAGAAGCTAGCGATTAGAAATTTTTATGTGAACAGATTTCGGATCATTTACTATAGACTCCAATTATCACACATCGACTTCTGCAAAGTGATTCTCTAGACTCATTTAACAATTGCATCGAACCAATGGAAACTTGTTTTGTGAGATTTTTAAAGGACTGGTCAGGTCGGGTCAACGTTCGTCGGTGGTATTAATTCTTTTCTCGACGCCGGGTTCGATAAAGCTCGAACGTAGTGAGGAGCTGAGGCAAGGCTGGCAGAGAACCTTGGATAGTGACGAGTGCCTATATAGAGCATTCCTCCAAGAGATCGAAGAGGGAGAGGACTTGAGAGGAGCTCGACGTATGAACGTGTACACAGCCGGAAGAGAGGACTATCGGGGAGAGGGAGAATTTCAGAGAGGGAGGCCATCGGGGGAGGGAGAGGGAAAGAGGGAAAGAGGAAAAGAGAAGGGTAGAAAACGGGTCCCGCCCGATTCGTACACCTAACCAGGGAGATACGCGTCTGATTCGTCGTTGGCAATTGGCGGAGGCGGTACAGGCAGGTATCCATATCCGGTATGGGTTGGCTCACGGTTACGGGTTGCTCTTCATGTTCACCCTCATCCTCTTCATCATCTTCCTGATACGGATACAACCGTGTATGTGTATAGACCACCGTCGACAGCTCTCGCGGCTGATGCGCACCCCCTACTCGTGGCCTTCGATTCCCTTCGATTTCACTCGGCCCGACAATAATGACGTCTCCCGATGATGGGAATTTATCCATTCAATGATCACGAATTCATCCACCGACTTTCGCACGTGACCCACATTTCGAAACACGAATGCGGTTGCGTTGAGCACGATAGATCAATATCTGAATAAGATAAGCTACAAGATACAAATAAGCAAATACTTGATTCCTTCAGCAGCACTGCTTATTGCGGGCAAATTAATTTCTTAGTTTTAAGAGGTATAATTCATATGGAAACTTACGGTTTCGACCTTCGTACTTATTTACTGACTATTTTTCATCAATTTGGTGGAGTAACGTCGACATTCTGCTTTATTGAGCAGCTATCAGAATCTACCTCCTTAAGCAGAACAATCTACTGGTTTAATGTTTACGTCCGTAATCCTTCTAATGGGACTTCATAGTCACAGTTGGACCGTTTGCGGACTTGGTCCGAAAGGGGTTGAAGAAGGGACCATAACTGCCTGGACGACCATTGAATGAGAATCAAGGCGGGGCAGCAATGCGGTTGCATGGATTAGCGCCTGCGCGCACAACACTCATTAGCGGATTTATTACTCGTTTCTTCTTGAAAACCCTGTTAACCCTTAACACGCCTATCTCCGCCACCCTCGGGAAAATCCCCTTTCTCTCCTTGTTGCCGAACGAATCTCCAGGATTCACGATTGTTGTTACAAATGTTTCTGATCCACCAGAACCTCTTTGATTCGTCCCTCCTTCTTGTTGCTATAACAGCAAGCTGCCTCGTCCCTATTTTAGTTTTCTAAATACCAGAGGTTCATAAGGTCTCATATTCACTTTTGGAAGTTACAAACTGCCTAAATAAATTTTGACAGTATTTTGCTTTTACGATTCTACTGTGACGCTGCCGTCACGTCGCTTGTTTACTAGTGGAACGGCATAACGAAGCTTTAGCACAGTCACTGATCGACCCATCGACCTGAGCGCGGCACAAAAGGAACCGTTATCGGCTGCAATAAATCTTGCTGCGGTCGGAAACGTCATAACTGTTTGCAAAAATTCCTGGCCGGAGACAATTTAAGGATTCTCTCATAAACCGTGTAATTGACAAATCCCCCGTATCTTCTCTAGCCACTGGTATACGCGTATTGTATAAGTGTACCAACCTTTTCCTTGACTTGTCAGTTCGTTCTTCATGAATCCGTGTATAATTGCACTGCTGTAAATTATGAGCAATTTAGGAATTTTAAAATTCCGTTAAAATCCTAATGTAATGGTCAATTTTTTTTATAAGTTTATTAGTTTATAATTTTATGACTGAGCAGAAGTTGTAGGAGTAAATGATGGGTCAAAATATAACACCGATCCCTAAATTGTCATAAACAGTAAACTATATTCCTTCTTCTATGAATACACGTATTTGCATTTACATAACTCAGAGTGAAAAAGATTCAACAAGAGTTCCCCTGCGATTTTATTTTTCAACAGCATAGTATTGTGTTCCTAGTTAAAAACTCGTAGACGTGCTCCAGTACGATGGTTGTCGTTTTAATATAATAGGGGGGGTCGGTATTCGTGGTCGATTGAAAAGAGCGCGGAAATAATATCTAATGCGCGCACGGGTGCACGCGTGAGCGAGCGCAATGAAAAATCCCGGCAGCGTAAAAATTTAGCTCCTAGACACGAAATCGCCCCGATCTCCTCGACCCCTCTTTAAAATCAGAGCGAGAGACGCATTCACGAACGTCGAGTTGTCATCCTCGAGGCACGTAAACGGCGAGGAATTCGACGGAAAGGGTGGGTCCTCGGAACTGGAAATCAAACTGACATGACGTTTTTGTCATCCGCTTGCTCTTCCTCCTCTTTGTGCCGTTCTCTTCCCTCCTTGGTCATTACGTTTAAACGGGATTAGGGTTCAAGTTTAACAATATAAGGATGGAATTTATTATTCTATTTTGTTCGTTCATCGGACGCGTTAACCATTGTTAAATGGTGCGAGATTAATACCGGATTATACAAACTTCAAGCATACTGGGAATTGGTCCCACGTCTTATTAAATACATACACAGATATAAGAGTTGCGAAGCTCACGAGACTCGGCGAGGTAATTAGTACCAGCGAGTAACTCTATTCGCCGCGGGTAATTCCACTAGGGCAATCTTGAGCAGCCAAGAGAGCGTACGTCCCCAAGGAGAGGAACGCGTTTGAAAACCCGAAAAGGGACGCGATCGACTACCTGCGAACCCGTAAGGTCCCACGACCTCCGTACTTGAAAAGCCAGCGCCCGTGATGAATCGTTTCAGGTAACCGCGTCGTCGAGAAACTCGAAAACGCGGCCGAACTGTAAAGGTGTTAATACGAGGATAATTGATTAATTCGTGTCCACCGCCGTACGAGGCGAAAAATCATGCGCGATTGAACGCGCAGCTTTCAAACAGCGGCCACTAAAGACGATCCGATTAAATTCGAATTTGTCACGCTATCCTGAACTCCGTCTCTTCGATGAGAAATTCTTGAGCGGTGTATATACACAACAAAGCGGGTTAGCACAATGAAGCATTTCATCAAATTCTTCTAATCACTTTTATTGGATTTTTTTATCCATTATATATTAACTGTTTTCTGGACACTAGTTGAAAGTTTTATTCTTTATGAGAAACATCTCATCCTGAAAACATTTTTTAGCAAGGCCAAGGATCTAATATTTCTTATAATAATGAAACCACGAGGCTCCTACGAGTCAGTTCAATGAGATTACATTGGTTAAACCTTTTCTAGTCGCTCCGCGTGGTCCTTTCATGGGGTTTCCCGTGGACAAAGCTGGTAAAAAATAATCTATTATAAGAGGGAAGGTGGTTGGAGCCAGCAAAGCGTAGGACTATTTCTCTGGGTTCACGTGGCTTCAGGAAGGATGAGTAAAATAGCGCGTGTCTATAACCCTTCAGAAAATCCGATAAGTAGACGCTCTACACCTTCCACGTGACGTGTTAATAAATCAGATCCCTGGATGCTACCGTTGCATTATAAAAACCGTTCTACTGTATGATATTAATACATATCTATATTGATGAATTCCTCTTTTTAATAATATTCTTTATATAAATTCGTCTATTAAAGTTATTCAGAGTACAAATGGACGGAGGGTAACATAATGATAGCAGTTTACAGAACTTGCAACAAAATTGCAATTGTATACTATTTTCATCTACTTTCATATTGATTATAGTGTGATATTACTGTAATGATAGATAGAAGGGGCATCCATTACTTTAATGGGTTCATGAAATCAACAGAGGGTCCTTCTTAAAATAAATAAAATATTATCTTAATTCACGTTTAGTCCAACACAGTTGCAAGTTTATACTATTTGCCAGCAAAAGAAAATGAGTCACCGATTCCAATCGAGAATGAAAGTAATATGCAAATGTAATATAAGTTGTTACACAGTTCGAAAGTAAACGAAATATCTGATATTAAAGTTTGTATGAAAAATTGTCGATGTGAATAGATTAAAAAAAGACCACGTGGAAAGATATGAATGTAGATGTTATTTCTTCCGTGGATAACTTAATTATGCGAGGGCATCCGAAATGAAGTGATCAAGGAAGAAAAGGAGGGACGAAATCGAGAAAGAAGAGGCAATAAAACGGCGACAGCTGTTCCGCTGATGATCTATCGTGTACGGTAGTGTACAGCGAATAGTGTGAACCAGTCGGTGGTGTAGCTCCGCGGTATCATAATACCAAACGCCTATTTGTTAGACGATAAATATGTAACTGTAACACAATGTCTCTCGTCCCCTGGTATAGCCGTGGCTGGGGCCCACCGTGGCCCAGCGTGGCGTGTATCGAGGGGGGTTTCCCTGCGAAGTGTTAACCTCGGCCGGGATGATGACTGGGGGGCGCGGTGTGCGACATTAAATCATATACGTGCTCGCATTTTCGGTAGCTGTTCCACTTACTTTCTGGCGTGTATGCGTATACCGCGTGTCTCCCACTGGTTACGCAGCGCGAACCCACGGGGATAGTGGATAGGTGCGTGTACGGATGTGTGTAAGTGGAGGCAGATGGTGTCCGCGAAGTCAAAAGTTCCCAAATAAGGGATCAGTCTGCGAAAACATCGAACGGCCACAGAGAATTACGATTATGATTGCGTCCGCATTACTAATCGTAAAATTGTTTCATATTTTAAAACTGTCCGAATTATTTTTGTAAATTGTGACGAAAACGTGCCAAATTATTCCTTTTTAACGTTTTAGCAATTATTTTATATACGTCAAGAAATAAAAAACTAGTGCTTAACGATTCTTTTGAATGTTCCTTGAAAATTGTGAAACACTTGTTAGTTAACTTGACAGTTTTCATAATACTGCTGGTCAATAAACAGGAGTGCGTTATTTATTTGGTAGCAACCTTGAAATTTACTATGCAAGGATAGACACAGAAAAATATGTGTCAATAAAGTTGCCTGACAGATGGGCACATATGTTTTTTAAACTTTGATATTCGAAGGAGCTTCGATTAAATGAGTGACACTCAAGCCTCGCGTCAGAAAGTCTAGTTAGAAATATTGTCTACATCTATCATATTCGTGGCACATAATAATATCAATGTCATAGTTTTCATACTTCGTTAAACGTTAAATGTAATTCAGAAACACTGTTATTTTATAATATCCTAAATAGACTAGTGAACACTTTATGATATCAACTGTATTAATTGAATCGTTTTTCGCAGTTCATTTTTTGTAACACGGAGATTAATAGTCATTTATAAAAGCGAGTTAACGAAGCGTGTTGCCAAGTAATGTAATTTGGCTTATTGTTAGTTCCATCGGCGTGAAACCGTTTCTATACCTTGGCAAGTGCCCGTGAACTTTTCATCCGCATCGATCAAACGAGAGTCATAGCACGTCTATAGAATTGGCATATCTTATATTATTTACAAACTAATTGTTACCCAGTGTTTGTCGTCCAATATATAATTAAAACAAGGAAAATATACATTGTCAGAATAACAACAAATTTTTTTCTATAATTCAAACAGCTACTTATTATCCCATAATAATTGCACCGAATATTACTGTCATTCTTTTGTGATTAAATATACTGTTGGTAATTCGTGACGCGAATAATTGCAGTTGGGAGCATTTTGCGATCGATGACAGAGGAAGAGACGCGGGCCACGAAGCGTGCATACATCAACGACTCCGCTTCCGGTCTGTTATTAAGGCACCGCAATTGGTAGAGAACGCGTGTAGAATGCGTTTCGTGATCCCCGATGCTCTGGCTGTGGGAGTGACTGCACCTGTCTTGACCGCTGAATCGTCCCGGTAATGACGGATCATCTTTACACGCGCCGTTACCGCATTATTAACCAGTCTTGCATACATTGCAAATATCTAATTCAGTAATACAGCGAAACCAGTTCTTGTCACGCCTTTCCTCCTTCCTACAGCAAATTATTTGTCATCATTTTTCAACCATGTACTTCACGTGCCATTCACCTTTCACTGTTCTCGCTATGGATTAACAGATGCATTTTTAGATTAATAATAAATACCATACTGTATTTATTTTATTTGCTACCATTAAACTGAAGTACTGTTACATATAAATTCAATGAAATGAAAGGGACATCGGTTGAAATTCGAATCGATCGTCGATCGTATTTTATAGAACGCCTTGTATGAAGCATAAGGGCGGATATTCGTTGATCCACGGGGTCCACCGGATGAAGACATCAATTACGAATTAACGACCAGAAAGGGATGGCGCAGATTTTTACCGGTCGCTTCATAAATCCAACTTCAGAATTCGGCGCGGTTCACGAACTCAACGGAGGACCCACGGTCCGCCTTTTTTTCGGAGTTAATAACGTCTCTATCAGCAGAACGCAGCGGCTTGGCGCGGCGCGTTTCGCAGCCCGAGGTGTATATACACCTACCTGGCCGAAAGCGCGGTACCTTTGCATCATTTAATATTTAAAAACAAGCCATAAATATGTCGCCTTCTGCGTGCTTTAAAACGCGGCCGCTGCGCTGGATTATAATATGGGCGCGAGCGCGAGCGCGCGTCGCATCGCGTCGCCCGAAAGCAAGACGAATGCTGTGTTGAAACCCGGCGAGGTGTTAATGACACCGGCGTGTCGACGCCGCGCGAATCCAGTCCCTTGCCACCCTATCGCGAAATGACCCCTCCGCTTTGTGGGAATATTATTACAATTTATCGAGACGTTTCCCCATTTAATTAACAAATCCCTGGTTTTTATGTAACTTGAAATTGAAAATTTTGCGAAATAAATGCACTTTTAAATTAGTTCTGCCAAAATCTTTTAAGTTCCATCCATTTAAGCTCGTGAACTCTAGTGAGTTTAGAAACAAATAAAAACTGGATATACTTAAAATTATATTTATTATCTATAAAAGAACGACTGGTCGAACAATTCGATGCAAACTGAAGGCAAAGGCTGCCTGGTACGCGGCTCGAGAACCGAGCGAAGAAGCCAATCCGTTGTCTTCGACAATAAACGAAGGGGTTAATAAATACGGTACATAGGATCAGTTCCGCGTACCTTCGTCGTAAATGGCGGAATTATTTAGTGCCGGAAAACCGTGTATGGATTGTACCCACCGTGAAACCGCCCCGCCTAAACAGTCCGTTAACGGATGATTTACGAGGCGCTAGTTTTCTGGCCCCGTTCTAACAACCCTTTCGCCGTATCTATAAAACCCTTCTCGCTGTGCTTCCAAATCTAGTTATAGCCCTATTGTCCGTGCGTACCTTGCATCTTCGCATCAGTCCGTACGAACCCGACGCTTATTAAAAATTTTACTACGCTATTCTAAATATAGCCAGGAAATGTCTCTATATTATCGGCAATCTTCCTCGAGCATAAGTTTTCTTTTGAATAAAGATTTTGTAATAAAAACTGATAAAAACATTTCATTTGATGCTGTCTTACTCATCCGGCGAAGCGTTATGGAACGCAGTGTGGAGCAACAACTTATGCAGATGCGATACGAGCACGCATGAGCCCATAAAAGGTCCTTATATGTAGACACGCGAGCAAAAATACATCATTATGATTTACGGGAGGTATTATCTCCAGCGCGAAGCCACGAAAAACGAAACGGAAAGGGAAAGGGCTCGAGGTGATCGTTCTGGCGCACAAGATCCAGATACACGTAGGCTAATGTACAGGACTATGCTTGTATTTATATTAATTGCACTTTATAATGATTAATTTACAGACGTTGTATGCATGAAAAAGAAGGAATACTTGAAACATTTCATGATTATTAGTTACGTCTATTTTTATTATTATATGAAATACTTTAACTGGTTAGAGTATAATGGGGCGAATATTAATATCAGCAGCTGTTGATATTAAAATTCCGCCTAGATTTATGTAAACGAGCTACACGTTTTATAGAGACAGAGGATTACCTACTACTACCGCTAGTCGTGTAGTGCAAACTTACGCAATAATAGAGCGCAGATAGTAATCTAGATACACTGGAAGGAAGAAAAGAAAAGAAGCGGGGACGGGTAAGAAAATAAAAGTGGACCGTGAAAAGAGCAGCGGCGGATCGGAAGAAACGGAGAGGTCCGATGCTTCCGTCGGTTGATGTTACCATTATGTTACCATTATATTATGCCCCGGCATTATATACCTGCAATTTTCAGCTCTTATCTGAAGACCCGATCGCCTCCGCTTGAAAGTCGAGCTCTGCGAGAAGCACCAAACTCGTTCGGCTATTAAATAGCTATTACTTATTCGTACTTTAATTCTCATACGTATATAATTTGCGAAAATGTTAATATGTTTATTATATATTTTCAGTCTGGTATTCAATTAAATGTAAATAAGACGTGGGTACAAATTGCCATTGGACAATATCATAAAAAAGAAATTGATAATATTACTCAGTTTTTCGCTGAATAATTTACTGTGCATACATTTGTACATAATGTGATATGCATTTGAGTACGTGGTAAGCACCCTGGAATCCCCACTGGCTGAACTTTTAATGCAGGAAGATAAGACATTGATAAAGCACACACATCGTTTTCGATTACGTTCGCCGTGCATGCAAACGCATGCTACGGTGTTGGGGGGGGGATGAGTGCTGGGACGGGCGACACATGTCTTTTGCCTCCTTCGATCGCTTGCGTTCTTATCTCGTGAATTTTGTGCTTTATCTTCTACATTTTGTCAGAAATCAAAGATCTTGATCGTTTCTACCCCTCCTGTCTCTGTTTTAGTGATCCGACGTTTTATTTATTCCCTCCTCTGTTTAACATATCTAGATTCTAAAATAAGAATTTACAAAAAATGTTTGTCGCATCTGCTATTTCTAACATACTCCGAGATATTCTATTTATATGTATATTCTATTCTATAATTTTATTTAAAGAGTCACGCATTAGACGAGCTTCTTCTTGCCACTATCCCACACTCTTGTAACACCCTTCACGTTTAAAATGACGTTTTGTTTGGAAGGTAAGGACAGGCCGCGGGTTAGAAACAAATATTAAATGCGATCAGGGGACTGGAAGTAATCGAGGCTCACCGTGAGCCTCGTACATCCCGAACTGTCTCGTAAAGCATGCCTCGACAATGTGAGCAACGTGCCGGATAATGCGAAATCGTATCTACCACCTCTTCCCGATGTCGTAAACTGCGCTCTTCTTAAGGTAACGATTTCACAATCCCTAAGAGAGCGTTCCACGTTTTCCCGTTGAATAAAAACAAACTATTGAAAGTGGAATAGTTTATGAGACAGAGCGACAAATCGCTGTCTACCCCTTTCCCATATTTTTAGAAGTTCCGTTTCATGCCTCGCTCTTATGATATACGAGTTTAGACGAAATGTTCGGAAAACAGTGGGAATAAAAATCTTGTCACAGCAAACAATAGACAAATTGAAGCCAAGATATTTTATTGAGTAAAATACATACAAGAAAGATGGGATTGATGGGCAGAGTTAGTATAGGAAGATAAATAAAAGATTGAAATATTGTTAGGTAAATTTAATAAGAAAATGGCAGTACACACGAAATTATACCGGCAGCATTACGATCGCTTGTATTTGTCAAGTATGTTTGCCGAGCGTTCTCGTGCTAGGAAGGGTTTCACAGAAATGAAAACGAGAGAATGGAAGTGGTTTCTCTGTTTGTTTTAACACATGGAAGCACGTTGCTCGATAAAGTAACGAGAGAAGGTGTTACCCTGTCCTCGTCCGAGACGGACAGAAAGACAACCTAGAATTAACTCATACCGTATCCACCGCGATGATTACACAGGTTTCGATTCGACCTCGCCGCCATTTTACGCTTAGAAATTGAATAGAGGTGTCCAGGAAACGCGGCCATGCTAACTCCGTTCTCCCTCGCTTCGCTGACACGTATTTTAACAAGTAAACTACTTTGAAAGAGCCCGTTCTCATTATCCTGACACGCGTATCCGTTCTCCGTTTCACTTTTCGTTTCCTGCAATATTTTCGTAGCAGGCGTCCCTGTACGAGATAACGTTTACAAACGGCCAAACAATAATTTTAATATACCTGCAGTATTTCATAAACATGAAGAATAAGAATGATCTCCCTCCGTGGCAGCACGGTCAGAAATAATTGGAACTATCTCGACCATTGAAAAAAATAATAACGTAATCGAGGAACTATTTTAAAGTAAGTTGTCAAGTCTGACGAGCGCGTGCTATTAATTTCTACGTTTGTTACGCGCCCGGGTGGTCCACTTCATTTTGTCAGGGGCATGTTCTCGCACTAATGTTTTCTTGACACGGAAAAGCCACGGAGAAGCTGAAGATTCTTTTCACTCGATGAACGAAGCCAGTTTGATCCTTCGGCCGGCGAGAGCATAGAACGCGGCCTGCCATTGCTTTTATATACGCGTTATGTATAGGAACATGTCCGTGGGGTGCTAATGACGATCGATTATCCCGTATACCCGCCGGTACGCCGTCTTCCTGCTGTTACATGTATCTACCTACATCTCTTCTTCATCGCCTGCCTCCTCGTTTCTTCCTTCGCCGTCGCTTTTTGTTTGTATAATATATGCCGCGATCGGTCGAACCTATTTGTTGCGGACACCTATTAGGTCTCCAACTGAAGTTTCTCATATTTCAAACGATCTGCTGTGAAACGGACCGGTACGACGAGTTCCAACCAGGGTCAACACTGTTACGGTCAGGAAACTGAGAAACGGGGAGCAACTAATCTCGTTAACTTCGATCGACCTTCGACGGCTAGGATTTTCTTTGTTTTCTGAATGAATTTTAATTATTGCCATTATTTAAAACGAAACGAAAATTGAATTCGGTTTAAATAATTCTATGAACTACAGTACTTCTTTGTGGCCGCAAAGAATTCGGGAAACGTACCGCTGTGACTGGGTACACGTTGATACCTGACGTCTCTAAGAGGATTACGTATTACCCGCGAATTCGAGGAGAAACAAAATGGTTCGTCTTCTCGAGCCTAAAACTTAAGGAGATTAAAAGTTAACCCTGTCCCGTTCTCCATCGCTGAGAGACTTAAAGTAGATTAGCGGTAAGTTCAGTATAACATTACTGCGGCTCTCGCTGATCCTGTTACATCCTGCCCGGAATTAAAAATATTGTCATCCCGCGGGATTATACCTGCGGATAATATCTCGGGCCTTGTCAAACATAAATGAAAGTTTCGTCGAATCTTAGTCTCCGTTTGACATTCGTAACGGTAGTCGTCGCACCTATTATTCGCCACCTGCCTATTAAAACCTGCGAATCTATGCAAAGCTAGCAAACACATATACATAACTGGAATCCGTAAAGACAATCTGTCTTGATGTCCAATCACTGAATTTTTACTTTTGACATACATACACATATCACCAAATAAATATGTATAAAGTGACTAGTGCTTCCTATTAAAAGTTTAATTTGACACGAGAATTGTGTAATGAAAGAATTCTATTATGTGTACGTATTGACGGATACCTAATACACGGTTGGAGGAACATTCGTCAGCGGCCACAATAGATCCTGACCGTTCAGTCGTATCAGAAACTGTAATTGTTTTGGTTCTTAAAGGTGCCGCTCATTTATCCTGCAACAACCACCTGTCAAACGTTCGACGGTACCTGCTACCTAACTGTAACTTAATCATAGCTTACCTCTCCGCCAGGCTCATTCTGTTTTCTCGTTCTAATCATCCTCGACACCCCCAACAA